ATGTATTTATGCCATTGTGCATGTGTATGTGTGAGTCTGTGTGCGCGTTTTCGCAAAGCAGCTCCTCATAAGCACAACAAATCATACACTAACTTCACTGGCACAAGGCATTTACCAAAACGGCCATCAGCATTTTAATGACAAAGTCTAATCTATTTATGGCCAGAGTAAATTATTACAGCGGACTCTTGATATTCCCCACAACACACAGAAATTTACATGGCTCGCTCAATTCTGCTGATGGCAACTCTATGCTAATGGTGTTGGAATTTTCTGTGCACCTTTCCAAACAAGCCCATCACACTGAGGTTTAGGTGGATGAGTCAGGGGAAGCATATGTGCAAAAGCATGTATGCATATCACTGCCGCTTGCAACTTTTCATATTCTTAAGAAGGTATGGTTATCTTTCAACTTGAATGCATACGCTGACCGTGTGCACTCTTTCAACTTTGTCAAAAGCCTCTGCAGTTTTTCCATTGCTGACTTTGAGATAATTGCCAGTCTTAATCAACGTGCCTTGCAGATTAACCCAATTTCTCTTCAGGTGTCCTATTGTAGGTCTTCTCTGTGTATGCCATACGGTAAACACTGGACACATGTTCTTTGGTTCAAAAAAAGCAGCATAACTTATGTGCAGAAGAAAGCAAATACTAAGGGCCCTTCTATTTAAAGGCTCCACAAATGTAACACTTGGTTTCACAGTGCATCGCCTTAGTTGAGGAATTTCTTGTAATTACTGAGTATTCTTGTACTACAAGTGCAGAGATATCAGTTTTACATGATTTAGATGATAGATTTTGAAAGGAATCTTCATGTAACCATGACAAAAAGACCAAGTATTACTGTCCTTTTCACTAAATTGAAGCAATAGTGTGGAAGTATAAGAATAGATACATTACCTAGTCCCTAGATCCCTTCTCAATATTCTAACCACCAACTATTCCACCACCATCACATTATCTTTAAGGAAATTGTATTTTAAATGTAAGAAATCCCCTTACTTTGCTTCAGCGAGTATCTACAAATGCACATTTTTTTGGATTCAGTTTGAGAAACTAAATTGAGGATTAGGCCAAATCATTTTAGATAACTTTTCCAGGGCATTTATTTAGCAATTGGAACCAATGATATATCTAAATATTTGGTCAAACATATTGTTTGCATGAGTGGTTTCAATTTTCTAAGATATTTTTAAAAAACAAAACAAAAACAAACAAAAAATGTATTTAACATCCATAACCCTTTAAAACCGGTCGGGACGGGCACGCTCCGTTTTGCGTAGCTATTTTTAAATCGGTGTAGAACCGGAACCAGGTAAGCTAGCACAATAATTTTTTTTGCATATGAAACCGGAGGAGTTGTACTTACATCTTATGCCATCAGCTTGTCCTGGGTCACAGTTTCCTTCCACATATGGCTTTGCAAAAACAGCATAAAAAGCACATGTTGGAATAGACATCAGTGCGAGCTATCGTGTGTCCACCATTACCTGGCCGAAACCGGACGTGACGTCATTTTCGCGGAAAATGTATTTTTTTATTTTTTTTATTTTTTTTTACCTTTGGGGCCTTATAAGCCTGTACTGGTGTTTTTAAAAAGTCATGTTTGACTTCATGCCTTTCTGAATAGTTTCTGGGATGCTTAGAACTCAAATTGCACTGCTGGAAATAGTTTATTTTGATGCACATGCTGTCTTTTTTGCAAATTTGCATTATAATATTTATTTTCGTTTTTCCTTCAGGACATAAAAATTGGTGTATCTCAAAAATAAAACTATGAAGACACTCAAAATAAATTTCCTGTTGTTAGAAACTATTTTGTGCAACTTTTTTGTATTTACAGTTTTGACGGACAAACCTCTTAAATTTCTCTAACTATAAATATATGTAAAAAAACAAAACAAAAACGATTTTCAGTTTTTTTTTAGTTTATTGCACTTTGTTGCAATTTATGTAATTATTATAGACTTGATGCATACATATTATTAAAATTTGGGCTATAACAGTTATATTGATGTATAGCAACTTAAAATGCTCCCAAAAATTACACTATAGCATGTAAAAATATAAAGATAACTCTGGTGGACTTGGTTCTATGGTAGGTCTTAAAGGGTTAAACCTATTCAGCATTACAGTAAAATATAGATTTCAAACTTTCTTTTTAAAAATATTAAAAAACGATGCAAGAATAATCTAAGAATAATCTTAGGCAGTGTGTGGGCTATCGCTTTGTGCAATTGTGCTCATGAATCATCTTGCATCACTTCTATTCTTGCTGAGGTGTGAAAAGAAGATATTACACCTTCTGGTATGCAAGTATGAAAATGATGAAAATGTCTACTCTCCTTTTACTCACAGTTCTAGATACTTAAAAGTCATACAAACAGTATAAAGATCATAAAATTAAAACCTTTAAAGCAATCTTTAATAATTAGAAAAAAAACCAAACCCAAGCAAAACAAAACAGCAATCATTTTGGCTAAACTTAACCAGGAATCAGACAATCAAACACTGTATGTGACACTAATACAAGAACAAACCTGTTGAATCCCAGAGCAGTCTGTTGTATTCTTTGGCATCTGGGGAAACAGTTTATGTACATACGATGTTGAGTACACTTTTTTCCAGTGGGTCTAAACAGGCTTGTCCAACAGTGGCAAGCACAGAGGGAGAACCAACATTATGAAAACACTACTCCATTCCCCAGCATTGGTCATATGCCTCAAGTAAACCTGAGGTTTATTACTTTCATCCGGTAGTACTGATCTGCTTATATGAGCTTATGAGCTTATATCCGAAAAACAAAGTTGGAAAGATTTGTCCATTCATTACTTGGTGTTACTGATAACATGACACCTGCTGCATCCGTGGGTTGGATGGGACACTGTGGTATTAAAACTACAACTACCAATGTAATCAATAACCATGTTTGCCATTAAAATAAATGACACAGACTATTGACTCGCTGACCAAACTCTAGTTTCTGTCAAGGAGATAGTGGTAAAATACATCATCACTCTGCTTATCAGTGGCCGAGGGCCATAAATCTACCTTTTCCCTTGAGCATTTTAAATAGCTACAGCTGTGTACGTTAGTGTTGAAATAGGTCTTGTGCACAGCCCAGGGACCTGCCACAACTATGTGCTAAACTGGGCATCTTAATGAAATAAAAAGGCTGCGTGTAACATTGAGGTGCCGGTAAAGGATAGAGTTGTCCCCAGTGACACAGAATAATGCATTTAATGTGTTTTGGCTCTATGAGAAAATGTATTTCTCCCAGCCTCCCTTAGCAGCGGCAGAAAGGAGGGAAGGAGAGAAAGAAAGAGGAGAGAACAAAGAAGCAAAAAAACAAGCATGCTTGTATAAAGGAAACCGGAGGGAGAGAAGGAGGGGAACGAAACAACCATCAAGACAAAACAGGGTGAGGAAAATAGTCAAGGGAGGAGGCAGAAAACAGAAAACACAGTGTTTGCAAATCAAAAATTAAAAGCATAAGCATGCTATACACCAGAGGATGTCCCAAAGATATAATGGGCCTTTCAGCCCCTTTATTTGGGGAAAACAGGTAAATACAATAACAACTTGAACCTCTGCCATCATTTACAGCAGTGTTTGAGGGTGCAAACCTACAAATATTAGAAGGACAATTACCTTACTGTCATAACGCCAGGCCTGTCTCACTTTACTAACTGCATCAAAAAGCAACAAATGATCAAAGTATTGAATATTAACTTTCACAAGGCCATTCTCACAAATCTCTAACAAGGCCCCAGTAACACAATAAACTAATGACTGTTCTAAAGCTGTGTACTCAGAACAAACTTTCTTGATCACAGCTCCACAGTACATAATCATTCTGATTGGCATATTGGAATATATAATTTTTCAGATTTTGTTCTGTGGCAAAATCTCAAAGCTCAAAGATGGAGTGAGAAACTCTGTGAGGAACAGTCGTAACCAATGATTTTGCCCCATGTTAAATTATTTTACCTTCTATTAATGAAATGCCATCAAACTGTGAGCGGAGGTTTCTCTGAAATACGACTCACGTTCAATCACATACAGTATTCAGTATTGAAGATTTGCAAATTATAATAGGAATAACCTTAAACTAATGAAAATCCTTTCCTGGAAAAAACACTGTCGGTGACATTTGCATAAGGGTTGAAAGAAAAGAGCCATGACGAGTAGACAAACAAAAAGCTGTTTCTATTACAACGTAAACACATTTCCAGAGCTAATTTTGTTCTTTCCTGCCTTTGCTGGCATATCGATACATGTTTGGTACATTACTTCTACCGTTAAGTAGGATAAGATGGCAAGAAGCCATTGGCAGCCACTAGCACAGAGTCATGTGGATTTATCAACAGCAAACCAGTCATACAAGTATTGCGCTATAATGCTGGTAGAGGTCACGGAGTACCTTTAAAAACAGGGGATGATCTCCTCACAGTTCCATAAATACCTTTTAAATGAACAAATCCTCTGGGCGTCAAAAGTTATGAAAACAAACATGAAATATTCTTGTCTTACGGCGATTATACTTCTGCCAAAAACTAATTAGTTTTTTACTTACTCATAGTCTAAAACTGAAAAATTTCACAAAAATCAGGTTAATCTTTGAGTTATTGAGTTAACACAAGTAGCATGATACTGGGGAGAACCAATACATTTCTAACCACATAAAGCCGCACAGAGGAGGTGATTAATTTGTTGCTAATTAGATTATCACTGCAGATTTCATTTATATGTATAATCTTACGCATACACAGAGTCCTGCACAATGTATTTGGGAACAACTTGAGGTGTAAAGTAGTGTGAAAATACCAAGAAGTTTTCATGTTATCATAAACTTTTTCTGCTGATATGATTAGGTATATTAGGAAAGATTAAATTTATCTTAGTTATCTTTATGTATTTTTTTAACCAGCAAAGCAGAATCCTACATTTTATAGGACTTGTGCTTAAGTAACACACTCAATGAAAATAATAGTACTCACCACCCTGATCAGTGCTGACGGTGATGATGGCCACCTGTCGAGGGAACGAGCTCATGTCTGACACACCATTAAGCGACTCGATCTCAAAGGTGTAGTTGGCGTGTGCGGAAAAATCCACGACAGTGACAGTGGCGTTGGTCAGGCCTAACGGTCCTGGCAAGAAGCGAAGCTCATCTTCACACAGCTGGCAGTGGTCGGGCTCTGGGCCGCAACGTTTACACTGGACGTTGTAGGTTAGGTCCCTGCGACCTCCTGTGTCGCTAGGGGGCGACCACTCCAGCAGCAGGCAGGTGTCGTTCAGGTTAAACATCAGATTTCGTGGACGGGATGGAGGGCCTACAAAAGAGCAAAAACTGATAAACTGATAAAAGAATTTAAAATTATATTTCAAATGAAACATGGGTAGCACTTTGTAATATTGTTACAGCTCAGTAATATTGTTGTAAGAGTAGCATAATAATGTGGAAACAAGCAGGAATTTAACCACAGTTGTTTCCTGGTGATCCTCACATAACTTAAAGTTTGGAATTAGAGTTAGAGGGGATTTTGCACCTTGCAGGCCTGATTCCTGGTTATTACAAAGAAAGTTATCTGTGTAGGTTCCTACTCATCCAGGTCATGGAAAGAAACGTGACTGGACTTCTTAAAGAAGACAACTTAAAGAAGTCTAGTCAATTTCTTTCCAAACTTCTTAGACTACAATAAAGTTCTTCAGGTTTTTACAGTTAATAATCCACAGCATCAAAATAGGATTTATATTGTTACCGTTTAACAGAGAGGAATGCTGAAGGCATAGGGTTGGATTAATTATAGCATTATATTATAGCATTAAAGCATCAGCTAAGATTACCTTATTGTCAAGTGGATACTACCATAAGTCAGTATATAAAAATGTAAATACATAAATATTACTATCATATTACCAGGTGTTTATAACAATATATATATATAT